GTCAAATCAATAAATTTGGGTTGAATACTCCACCCTCGAAAACTGTTGCGATCCCTATACTTGTGGGTTATCATTATGTTGTGACGTTTGATACACAGAAGGTACTCCTACGGTGTCAGTGAGTTGCGTGATCTCATGGTCATAGGAACCGATACTTGACATGCAGAAAATGATAGCAATAAACTTGATATGATCATATGCTGCGCTTATAGTTTGGGTCTTGTCCATCACATCATTCTCCTAATGATGTGATCCCTCTATCAAATGACAACTCATGTTTATGACTAGGAAACCATAGCCATCTTTGATCAACGAGCTAGTCAGGTAGAGGTTCACTAGGGACATGTTGTTGGCTATGTATCCACACATGTATTTGAGTTTCCAGTAATACAATTATAGCATGGATAATAAACGATTATCATGAACAAGGAAATATAATAATAACCACTTTATTATTGCCTCTAGTGCATATTTCCAACAGAAAGCACCGTGAGACATTCGGGCTGCGGCTGCCCCCGACCTGCATCAAGCGCCAACTTGAGTTCGGCAATTTCATGCCGGAACTTCCCGCACTCCACTTCGAAGGCGTCCTCCCGCCGCTTCTGCTCTTTTGCATGCTCACTAACGAGCTTTGAGCAGTCTGCCTCCGCCTTCGTGTTGGCGTATGCCTGGATCTTCTTCTCCTTAGCCTTCCATTGGGCATTGGACTCACAGATGTGCTTTGCATGGGCCTCTTGAGCATCAGCCAGCTGGCGCCCTAATGCCTCCAAGCGCTCGCGCTCTGCGGCCTGCTCGGTTGATATCTTCGCAAGGTCCGCCTCACGGGCCCCAAGCTGGTCCTCCTGCAATTGGAGCATCTATGACTGCCCGACCTGCTGGTCCTGGAGCTCCTTCATGCGGGCCTCCGCCTCTCCGTGGCGCTTGGTAGCCTCCTCGACCTCAGCCAGCGCTTTTGCGCAAGTCACCCTTGCTTCGGTGGCATCCTTCTCGCTCTCCGTGCGGATGGCCTTGTTCTGGCGTTGGCTTGTCTTCACGGTGATGTCATGGAAGTGGACACTTATCATTTAAGTATTGTCATGGAACACTTCTACGACAACACATGTATGACTATCTTGATTCTATCATAAAATTATCACGAATGTACATGCATGGCAGAAAACTTGGCATACTATTGCAAACATGTATCATCACGAAAGTGTTTTTTTATTCACTACTTTGCCCCCGATGCGCTATTCAAGCCCTATTTGCACAATCAATTTTGGATGAGATGACATGTTCGATCGCATCTACCTTAGTGTCCAGATCTATGATGATTACTTCATCTTAAAGAAGGATATGTTCGAACCATTGGGTTCTTTGGTTACCAGAAATGCATGGTTGCAATGGGGATGCTTGCATATGGCACAGTCGCAAATTCATGGGACGAGTACCTCCGGATGTCTGAAAGCACATGCCTCGAATCGGTGGTCAAATTTGCTGGTGCAAATGGTGAAGGTTTTTGGACTAAAGTGCTTGAAAGAACCAACTCCCACAAACACAACAAGGCTCATGGCAATTGGAGAAGCAAGAGGATTTCTATGTATGCTCGAATCCCTGGACTACTCATTGTAAATGAAAGAACTACCCATATGCTGAACAAGGGCAATACCAAGGAATTGAAAAAATCTTACCATCATTCTTGAAACAGTTACATCACATGACCTCTGGATTTGACAATCTTTATTTCGCATGCCTAGATCTCACAATGACATCAACGTGATGCAGCAGTCTCCATTGTTTGCAAGGTTGTGTAGGATCGAAGCTCATGAGTGCAACTATACCATCAATGGTCATGACTACAATATGGGGCGCTATGTTATAAATGGTATCTATCCTACGTGGGCGAATTTCGCCAAGACCATCTATGAACCAAGGGGTAACAAAAAATGTCACTTTGCCTACAGAGAAGAACCTACTAAAAAGTATGTTTAGAGGGCATTTAGAGTGCTCCGAGACTGTTTTGCAGTTGTTCGGGGACCTGCTAAACTTTGTGATCTAGAGACATTGTGGAAGACTGGAAGGTGATGATATCTTATGTGATGATGCACAATATGATTGTGGAGAGTGAGGGTCATGGAGTTTTCCATGGTCTGGATTTTCAAAACTTGGGTGATTCTATGCAGCTTCCAAAGCAGAATCCGACGACTTGAGGATTTTCTCCAAATGCATCATCTGATTTACAATCGAGGAATCATGAGCAACGTTAGAATGATTTGGTTGAGCATCTTCGGGCGTTTCATATGGACAATTGGAACATGTTCGACTAAGTTGAATTCAAAACTTGAACTAATTTATTTCAAAACTTTATGTTTGGATTTTAGTTTTTTATTTGAATTATTGTTGGAATATTTATCTTTCAACTGCATAAGAATACTGTTATTTATCGTTGAATATTTTGAGTACTTAGGGTATAGACAAAAATTGAGAGGGGAGACTTGGTGCTTGTGGTTGGATGCCTCCACCCCTGTCACTGCTTGTTTGGTGATCCGCGTTGGAGTTTCCCTAACATTTGATGAGGCCCGTTTTGGTGATTGGCGTTGGAGTTGCCTCAACATTTGATGAGGTTTGTTTTGGTGGTCCGCATTGGAGTTGCCCTAACAAATTATAGTTCTTTCCTATAGCGTCAAACATCTCATTACTATATATATATATATGCTCAGTTATTATTATTTTGACGCCAAAACAGCATGAGAGGCTCCTATTGTATATTTAATTAAATAAAAGAACGATCGCACATAATATACATACAAACTAGCCACTTTGGGCTAGGTCCAAGAAAGACAAGCAAGCAACGACAGGAAGCTAAGGTCTAAAACTTTCGTGAATTAGCTCAGAGTGTGCAAAAAAAAATAGACTCATGCCTTATTTGGTTGGTTATGCAGCACAAGCTAATGCATTCACAGTCGAGTCAACACCATGAACATACAAAACTAACATTGCAAATCTTATAATGTACTTTAACATTGGCCGAAGATCCATGAAACAAGTATGAACGCTTGCGAGAAACCGTATCTCCAATGCGGCTCCAAGCAGTATGCTCGTATACTTTTTAAATACCATGAATCAGATAATGCCTTTAACAAACACTTTGACAAATTAAGGGCAGCTTGTTTTGTGATGACTATGGCACTGCCTTAGGCCAAAAAATCGTATTTTTGGTAGGCCGCTACTTTTACATCGGTCAATTTGTTGCGAATCGTTGGATTAAAAACGAGGGGTCAGATTGTCCTCTTCTTCCTCCAACCGCCCCCTCCCCCTCAAACTGTTCATCTTCTTCTTCCTAACCAACAGAAATACGAGCCGCGATTTCTTCCTCTTCCCTCCCAACCCGTCTCCTACCTCGCCTCCAACAAGTTCCCGCCCGCTCCCTCACTGGGACGCAATGTCACTTCCGTCTCCAACTCGGGTTTCGTCCAATTTAAGCCATGGTCAGAGTTAAAAGCCCCCTCCCAACCACACAATCAAACCTCCGGCTTGCCTCCGCTTGCGACGCCGCGTCGTCGATGGCTCCGGCTCAGGTGTTGCTTCTCCTCTGCGAAATATCGACTGGCGTGAATGGGGTTTTCAAGCAATTGGATGATGGTGAATGGCAAAACCGAATAAGTTTTATTATAGATTATTGTGTTTTCAATCCTGCAGAGCATTCCAATTTTATTTTATGGTTCTTAGAACCGAAGCATTTGACAAAATGGAAACAAAAGTAGGCAAAACCTCACTAGAATATTTACCAACTTGGACTCGGGACTGACTGACCTCGCAACGACAGCCCACCCCACACGAGGGGAGTGAAGTCCAACACACGCGCACCAACCCTCCTCCTCCTCCTTTCCTTCTCCCCACCTCGCCTCCTCCCCAAACTCCGCAGATTCTCCTCGCCGCTCTCCAATCCGGCCGTCCCTGGACGGTCACCATCGCCGACCGCCCTCCCGACGAAGCATCGACCCCTTCCCGCCGCCGCCTGCCTCGTCGCCGGCGCATGAGAGGTGAGCTCCTCTCCGCATCCCGTCTCATCCCCCATCCCGTCCGTCGGTGCCTTCTTGCCGTCGCTGCCACGTCCTCGTACCAGGAGCGTCCCCGTGCCACCGTGTACCCACCTCGCTCCGTCTTCTCCTGCCGCGGAATGCGATCCGGGTAACCAACGGGTGCCGGTGCGGATTCGGTCGCCTGCCGGCCGGCCGGCCGGCCGAGATGTGGATCAGCTCATCCTCCGACGGGCCGCGAGTTCGCGAGGAGGATGGCGTCGATGCGTCGCGCTACGCGCGCTCCTCCTTATCCGCAGCTCCCTTGCTAGTAGCCGCTAGGTTCGATTTGTCTGACGCCGTAGTTCCACTGCAGGCGACGAACGTCCTAGGTGACAGTATTTCCATGGAATCAAAATGATGAAACTGGCACTGAGACATAGCGGGTCCCTCGATGCAGACCGGGTTTATAGAGGAGCACATTCCAATGTGGTATGCTGCTCACCACAATGTGGATGTGCATCTGAACAACATCAGAGGCTTGATCTGCGCTTACTACCCTGTAAATGAATGTGCAGACCAGTCACTTGGAACTAACAAGAGCACTCTTTGACCATTGCCCGTCTATTATTTTTACACCCTGTCCTGCCAATGATTTTGATTTTGGTTATTGGTGGCAAATCTTATCCCTTGGCTGGCATCTAGGACTCGTGCTTCAGTTTACGTTTATTGCGCTGATTCACTGATCTTTACGGGTGCTGGCATCTATGACCAACTGTTCTCTTCATTCCCTACTTTCCTCAACAATGCGCATTTATGTGCTGCATTACTCCGTCTAGCTTTGGGTTGAAATGGGAGCTCCAGCCTTCCAATCTTTTTTATTTTATTTAATGCACCAAACAGCTAATGGTTGTATTTCCTTGATGACACTTAAGTTTGTCTGCGTAGTCTACATTTCCATATTGAGTTAATACTTCTGATCTTTGCTATTTCCAGTGAATCATGGGAGGGTTTTGCTGCTGCCTTTCCACAGATGATTTTGAGGAATATGTTCATCCAAATAATCCTGTCTATAGGCAATGCATATCCCTAAGGCATTTGTTCCAGAACATGTTTGGAGGGGTAATGTTACCTCTTACTCCATGAATTTTCCAGTATGCAAGATGCAACCACTTATATGGGTATTCATGTACATTTAATCTTTGGTTTCCAATTTATCATACATCTTATAGTAGTATGTTGATCTATACCACCAAAAAAAATGTTGATCTAAAAGGACAGACACAGTGCATAGAAGCTCCCACACAAGGTGGGGTCTGGGGAGGGATTATAGTAGCATGTTGACCTAATTATCCAAATTGCCACTGCTATGTTGATTACATGCTATTTTTATGGCAAATGGCAAATAGCACAATATGCTATCTTATATAGAGGAGTATTTTAAATGGCACATTGGTGCCACTGATGTTTGTTGGACAAAAATATAACACCAATTGCGAACTGTACAATGATCGGTACACAACATTTATGGAAGGCAAAAGATGGTCCAGAGTCCAGACTAGAGAGACAATTGACCTGTTCTTGATGTATAAGTATTGATCTTTTGATTGTGTTCAACCAAATTTATATGCTTTATGGTATATACACATTGTCTGGGCAGATTCATTGCAAAGAGAAATAGAGAAATCATAAACAAATATAGAGCATGTATGGCATATTTCATTTCAATGATTTTTCAGGATATAGTACATTTATTTTCATGCTGAATGTTTATTCTAACTCCAGTATTCCTCTTTGGTCCATGTAGTATACTGCAGCATTTCAGAGGCTCGACTCTAGGCCAAGCAACCCAGCTCAAGGAGCTGCGCCATTGGCATCCACTAATCCAAGTACTAATATAACTGAGAGTTCACTGTCTGAAACTTTTCACCTTGTTTCTAGACCACCCCCATATGACATTGACCCTAGATATGCCCGAGTTCAAAGAGAGGGACTGGTATCAAGGCGTGAAAAGTCTATAAACCTCACGCATGAAGAGTCCCCAGCTCTTAGACGAAATGGCAGCAGCTCTGGTGTTGAACATTTAGCTGCTCAAAAGAAAAGGAGCAGCACTGATCCTGAGGGTGAACATAAGGTGCGTCGTTCTGAGTCGACTAAGAGTCTTTCTGGAAGAGCATATAACAGCAGTTATGCCGTCATCACTTCAGACGACGAAGATGTCTGCCCTACTTGTCTGGAAGGTTTGTTTGCACGTGTTTTTATGTAAATACAGAAGCCATGTTATGGTGTGTGTGAACATTTTCTCACTGCTTGCTCATCGTGCAGAATACACCCCGGAGAATCCGCAGATCATAACTAAATGCTCCCACCATTTCCATCTAAGTTGTATTTATGAGTGGATGGAGAGAAGCGACACCTGCCCGATTTGTGGGAAGGTACGATATCTCGTGCTCCCGTCTTTATATTCCTAAGAAATGTATTATCTGCAAGCCTGACAACTCCGACAATCTGCTGGAATCGCAGGAAATGGAGTTCTGCGAGAGCCCCTGAGAGAAACTTCCATGCTGGTCGCATCAGGAAGAGCGGGAAAAGGTATCTGCAGCATGGGATGCTGAAGAGTCTGTAAAGGGAAGAAGTATCTACAGCATGGGATGCTGGAGCCTGTAAATAATACCGTAGTTCTTTGCTGTCTGAAACCTGTCTCGTTCTCGAGACCGACTTGTGTGTACTGAAATCAATCTACCAAAAAGTCTTACTGGATATTTCGTGTGTATATTGTTGAATGGCAGTTCAGCGATGGAGTTCGATAGTATTTCTCCCTGCGGATGGGAATATAAGTCGGGCGTGGGCCTTAGATTTTCGATTGGTTAGTGTGTGGCATATTACACATGTTTCGCTCGTTAAATGGACGACCTAAAATCAAGTACCTGACTTATATTCCTGTCTGGAGGGAATGCTTTAAAAGTTTTTGTTCATGAGTTAATGGGTCCTCAAATAGAGTACTAGGTTAGCTCATTATTGTTGCGACAATGACCTAGTTATTCACATTCACCACTGTCCAAATAAAGTGTGCCTAAGGTGTCATGTGTTTAAGAATATACATGTAATAGAAATACTTTCCCAAACTGCAGTTAGAGGACTTCGACAGACCAATGTTGATAGCATTAGTTGTGACCTAGTTATTCACATTCACCACTCCCGTCCTCGAAGTTATAAAATTTCACTCAAAATATATGATCTTTGCTGAAGTGAGCGGTATAAAAGGGCAATTTTCAGCATACATATATGGTTCCTACAAATGGCATAAAGATTACTTTGGCTTCTGTTAAACTGTTACTGTTTAGTTAGATCAAAGTGTCCGTCAATGAAAACAGAACATGGGTCTGATATATTCCAAAACATTACTGAGCTAAAGTTGCCAACATTCCTGTAATCTTGCGAACATACAGATAACAACAGTAAGGAGAAATGCATTTCCCAAAGATACACAAATATGGCTCACTTGCTCAAAAACAATTGATCAGAAAACGATAGCAGTTGCGAGCAACAAACCTCAGTTACACAATGACAGCCAGGCACGCCTAGAATACAAAGAAGCTCACCCAGATAACTGGGAGCATTTCATTTCCGAATGGAAGGGGAGAGCCAGCAAGCTGGCATTTTTATTGGGTAATCGTTTGATGGCCAGCGCCGGTACCAAACCATTCTATCCAACAATTTTAGCGCCTACAGGTTGGCGGCGGTCTTGAGGGCGTTGCCCTTCTCCTCCAAGCTCGTGAGCAGGCTGTCGAAGCTCCCCTTGAAGGAGCTCACGCCCTCGTGCTCCAGCTGCTTGCCAACCTCTTCCCAGTCGATGCCCAGCTTCTCCAGGGCACTGTATATGCCCTCGGCTTCTGATACGTTCGCGTCGATTGTCCTAGCAACTGTGCCGTGGTCGATGAACGCGTCCAGAGCTTGGTCGGGCATCGTAGAGACCTGAATGTGCAAAGGGTGGCAAGCAAGTTAGGATGCGCTTAAAAGTTCTGAATATGTAAAAAATGACAAGTCGGTGATTATGATCCTGACGAACAAGACGAAAAGAACTTGCTGTCGAAACTCACGGTGTCAGGTCCGATGAGAGGATCGACGTAAAGAGTGTCCAAGTAAGCCGGGTTCTTCACGCTGGTAGATGCCCACAACAACCTCTGCTTCTTGGCTCCCTTCTTCACCAAAGCCTCCCACCTCGGGCCAGAGAATTTCTTCAGGTAAAGCTGATTTGCTATCTTTGCTTGTGCTACGGCAGCCTGAGAGAACAGAGGGTGGTTGTTAGTCAAAACTTGAATATGATAATTTAGAAAGTTCTGCTACTAGGCGACAGGTAATTCCAAATTGTCTCTACCTTTCCCCTCGGGGCAAGAGCTTCCGGTGTTCCAATCTTCTCAAGCATTTTGTCGATCAGACTGTCAACTCGGCTGACAAAGAAGGATGCTACACTGGTTACTCGGGATAAGTCGCTCAAACCAGAAGCCTCAAGCCCGTCGAGGTAAGCATCAATCACAGCCTCGTATCTTGCAACAGAGAAGATAAGCTGCAGCGACATCAATAAACTTGTGATCAATAGGTTTGGCATCAAAGTATATAACAAGCACAGCAAAGTTTACACTAAACAATATCGTAAGCGATCCAGTGGGGAAAAAAGAACAGATGATACGTTGGCGACCAAGGAGATACAAGATAATGATGACAAAGCCAGAGCTCAGCACTTACAGTGACATTGACGCTGATGCCATTAGCAATGACTTCCTTGATAGAAGGAACACATTCTGCTGTAGCTGGGATCTTTATGTACACATTGGGGCGGTTGACCACTTTGTGTAACCACTTCGCAGCTTCGACGGTTCCTTGGGTGTCATTTGCCAGCCTAGGAGACACCTCCACTGAAACGTAACCATCAGCCCCATCAGTCTCGTCGTAGATGGGCTCAAACAGCTTGCACGCGTCTTGGATGTCCTTTATGACGAGTTCCCAGTAAGCGCTCTCCGCATCCTTCCCAGCTGATATAAGCTCCTTGAACTGACCGTCATAGGCGTTTGATGAAGAGATGGCTTTCTGGAAAATCTGCATATTGTTGGGGACACAGTCAGCAGGGAACATTGCAGACACATCACACATGAGCAAGCCATATAAAGCATATAAGAAAAATAAAACAGTAAAAGGGTGATTACCGTTGGGTTGCTGGTGACTCCACGGACACCGTTGGCGATGTAGGGCAGCAAATCGGTGACAGGCCGGCAAAGGTTGTCGTACCACGGGGACTGACCCTGTTGCTCATAGAGGTCATGGAGCGTGGTCCTCTTCGTCACCGCACCGTTCCCTTCCTTGGCGGAAGCCATCGCACTGAAAATCACATTCCATGGAGGACAAGAATCAACATCGCATCCAAATGGTTGTTGCATCACATACATACTCCCTCCGTTTTTATTTAGTTTGCATATTAGCTTTGGTCAAAGTCAAGCTTTACAAACTTTGACCAAGTTTATAAACAAAAATATTAAGATATACAATAACAAATCAACAACATTAGATTTATTATTAAATGTACTTTCACATAGTATAGATTTATTATGATAAATGTCTATATTGTTTTCTATAAACTTGGTCAAACTTTACAAAGTTTGACTTCAGTCAACTCTGATATGCAGAGTAAATAAAAACGGAGGGAGTACAATACAAACAGAAAGAACTTTCTGTTCTTTTTTCTTTGGCAAAAGGAACTTTCTATGCATGATCATGAGCACTGTAAAATGTTAGTGAACTTTCTTCTATACATGAACATGAGGTGGTGGCAACTTGGTGTACAATATTAGTGCACGCAGGATGCAAAGCCATACGAGATGGCCAGTAACAGATGGAAAAACAGGAGGCTATGCTTATCGCCATCAATCAAGCAGGAAGAATCCAGAAGCGAGGGCCTGCTGTGGCGTGTAGCCCAACCAACCCGGCGGCGCGCTTGCATAGGATACATCGCCCTCAACCACGTAGCGACGAATCCGCGCACGGCAACACGGGCCATCTCGGCCGAGTTGACCGAGACGGCTCGCGAAACCACCCGATCCCGGCTGTCCACCCCCCATCGGACGGCCGCCCAGGCCTCCCTGGAAGGACCTCGAGGCCACCGCGGATCCGAGCAAGGCGCCGGGCCGGGGCGGGGCCACGCGCGATCGATCTACGCGGCGGCGAAGCATCAGCGCCGCGATCCTACCCACCCACCCACCGCAATTCGAACTGTGAAAGCGTGAATTAAGACCAAAAAAAAACTCTTCCCGAATCACGGCCCGGCCGCTCTGATCTGACCGAACCTCGCCGGCGACGCAACCCCAGCCAGTCGCCTTCCCACGGCGCCGCCGCAGCAGCTCGCCCCAGCGAAATCACGAATCTAATCAACCGGCGACGCGAGGAGAAGAGGTTAGGAGGGGCGGAGAGGGGTGCGTGTGTTCTCACATGACGGGGCTCCTGGCGCGGCCGGCGAGGGAGACGCGGAAGCGTCGGGCGGAGGGGGCGAAGGCGAGCGCGGCGGCGCGGAGGGGCTGCGAGGGGAGCGGCCCCGCGGCCGCCGGCCTCGGGGCGGCGAGCTTGGGCACGGTGCCGGCCATCGCGGCTCTGCTTCCGGCTCGGGGGTTGGTGAGGAGAGGGGGGCGGCTGGGCTGGGTTGGTCGCCCACGGGGGTTGTTGCGAGGTTTAGCGGAGCGGGGCTGCCTCACACGCACCGATCTGTCTTTCCTTTCTTCCTGCCGTTGGTCCTTGTCATCGTCAATAAATAGATGCACCATTCTAACCCCGTTTTACGGTTAGGCCCTTGTGGTTTCTGGTATTTGTGGTGTGTTATGGGCTGGTGAAGGGGCGGAGCAGCCGTGCGCCGGTGGGGTGTGTACGCGGAGGCATGTGAACGTGCGATGATCCGGTCGTGGAGATGCCTTGCAGTGGCATATTGCCCTTTTGCCTCTCCTTGGTTTGAGCATTGAGGATTGAGTAATTGAACCACGACTTGTGAGGATTGAGGAGGCCAGAGGCCAAGCTAGTAAGCAACGTGTACTGGTTCAATCCAGTAGCAAAGAGCAGCAAGATCAAGTAGCCAATGCAAACAGTGCATTTTTTTTCATGAGACAGGGAATCGAATCGAATCGGCCACTTTTCTTGCGCCTTGGTTCTAGAAAATGGCGATACGCTGTAGTTGGAAGCAGGGGATCGAACTGGCCGCTTTTCTCCTTGAGAGTGAGAGTGACGATGGGTTGTGGTTGGCTCCCCATTGACAACAATGGGTGCCACGAAGAAATGGCTTTGGGTGAATGCCATAGTCTATTTTTGAGCTTTAAGGTAAAACCAAAGATGGCAAATTTGTCTGTAAAAAGAAAACAAAAGCTTATGAATAGTGTCATGTCCCACAAAACATGCGGGAGATGTAGTTGAATTTGTCCACTTTCTCCTCGACAACGACGTTAGGTTGAGTTGGCTAGAGTATGATAGGTAGCACGGAGGAACGACTTGGTTGGAAAGTAGTTTAGATCTTCAAG